ATTGGTTTCTACCCGGGAAAATGAACAATAATGAGTAAAAAAAAAAAAAACAAAGATTTTGAACACTGTCAAATGAGAGGTTCAGAAGATATTTTTTTTTTTTTAACAATGTCGCTATAAAAATATGACATAGAGTCACATCTGTGTACCTATTTCGTCTATATATTTTTTGAGGATAGAATATGGGATTAAAAACTACGTTTGCAAAATTTAGTGCCAGTTGGTCAATAATTGTAGTTTTCCATGATATTCATAATTTAGGCATTATAATACATAATATATAATAATATCTATATTAATCGACTATCCATCAAAGTCTATCCATCTATCATGGTTTTCATTTTGCTTCTGTTGAAGTATTATTAATTATTTTTTTTTTTGTCGAAATCGGTCAAGTGTTACTTTAGTATGTAAAACCTGCACCATAAACTTTGCCACTTATATATTAATAAATCTGTTGGTTGTTACCAACAAAAATTTACATTTATGTAGGGTAACTTGTGGAATATTTATGATTTTGTCAATCTAGGTACATAAATAGGGACTCTTTTTTCTCAAATATTCCTTTAACTCCTGATGCGAGCGGTGGTGGCTGTACACCCGAACAACAGATGATGTTGTTTTGACCAACCACAAGAGCATGGGCAGAATCGGGGTAGTAATTGCATAATACTGTTGGTAATTTACATTATAACTATTGTGTGAGAGAATAGGTATTGTTATTGTTTGTGAAAATATTATATTTCGCAGAAGTGCGTTGGCAACCTATATTTTGGTCGATTAGAATAGTTAGACCCAGAATTTTCTCATTGGTGATTTACATTACTGTATTTCAGTGATAATATCTCGGGCCTCAAATCATAACTAGTACTTTTCCTAGTAGAAGCCAAATTTTTTTGACCCTCCCTGATTTTGGTGTGCCCTCATTACCACCCCTGCTTGTATAACATAGCAAAATTCGTTTTGCTTGGGRAATAACCGATAAAGTTACAATCATAACTAAAAACCAACATTTTCGACACATAAAAGGAGAACATCGGCTGTGAAATATCGTTTTAATTTTTATATCGAAATTATACATTCATATATATATATTTATTTTTAATTGGTTTACGGTCATTGAGACCATACCGCCAAACTAATTTCTCTCCATCTATCTCTATTTCCTGTCACTACTCTCCATGTTATCTTTGGTTCAATGCTTTCCACGTCTCATTTACACAGTCTTCCCAACGTAAGTGTGGTCTTCCTAAGGGTCTCTTACCGACCGTGTTCTCTTCGATTGTAGTTCTGACTATGGATTCTACTCTCCGCTAAGCATGTCATGCCCAGGTTAATCTCCTTTTCTTGATTATATTTGCGATGTTTGGTCTCTGGAACAGCTCCTCGARTTCTTTATTATGACGATTACACCATTCACAAGTGTTTGTGTTGAAGCATGGGCCGTAGATTTTCCGTGGGATTTTCCTTTCAAATACTTTTATCCTAGTTTCTTCTGCTTTCCTAAGTGGCCATGTTTCCGAGGCATACAGTCTATGGGTTGTATCAGGGGCATGTACATTTGTATCTTCAGGTTTTTCAATAATGTTCTTGAGCACAGTACTTTTCCAAGACCAAAAAAACTTTTGTTGCCTTTTTGTATCCTAGCACTGACTTCCATCTTCAGGTAATTATCTTGTGTTAGCAAGTGCTCCAAGTACTTGAAATGTGTGACTCTTTTGAATACATGTCCTTTTATATTCATAGATTGTACTTGTCTCTTTGTCTATTYTCTGTCCTGGCGACTTAATATCATGTACTCTGTTTTTTCGTCGTTTACCTCCAATCCGACTTTATTAGCCATAATGATGAGTTTTCTGCATACCTACTTGTTTAACCGTTATTTCTTCAGTATATTCTAATATCGCTATATGATCCGCATAAGCCAAGATATTTATGTTCGAGTTTCCCAATACTATTCTATTGTTAAAATTTGTTTCTCTGATTACCTTTTCTAATATAAAGTTGAAAAATATTGGCGATAGTGCATCTCCTTGTTTTAGGCCTGTCCTTAACGTTGCTGGCTCTGACAATTCCAATTCTACCTTTATTTTAATTTCTATATTTTGCAAAGTGGCCTCAATTAATTTTATTAGTTTATTTTGGAACTTAAACTCTTTTAATATATTTATAAGGCTATGTCGGTGGAC